AGAGAGAGAGAGAGAGAGAGAGAGAGAGAGAGAGAGAAAGAGAGAGAAAGAGAGAGCGTGAGAGAGAGATATGATATGATATGATTTATGCCCAAGCATAGGCTAAAGGGCAAATACAGAATAATACAAATAACAAAATTATACATGCTCTCTCTAGCACATGTGCGTTCACATAAAGCATGATAAATGAAACATAATCAAACATAACAGCGCAACTTAAGTAATAAAAGCGCGCAACTTAAAATAAAAATATGTACATTATACTAAAACTAACTTACAACTAACGCAACTTAAGAACTAGCGCAACTTAAATTTAACAGAATAACGCAACGTAAACAAAAATACTAGAAGAAAAAGAATACCAAAGAAATACAAAAATAGGAAGTACGCAAAAACCAAAGAAGGAAGGAACAAAGACACGTCACTCCGATTCAGTTGAAAGCAAAAACATGCGAAGTAAGCTCTTAAATGATGTGAGAGACGAAGCTGATGTAACTGAGTTAGGAAGAGAATGCCAAAAGTAAATGGAAGAAAGCTGGAAAGAATTTCTGTAGGTGACGGTTCTATGAGCAGGAATGTGGAAAGTTAGAGTAGATGATGAAGCAAGCCGGTCAGACTTCCTTAGAGTAGGATCAGGGGAGGTAAAAAGTTCACGCAGGTATGATGGTGAGCTCATATGCAGGATACGATAAATCTGGCATCCAAGAAAGTAGTATCGTCTGTTTTCAACAGAAAGCCACTTCAACCTACGTCTATATGGGGTGATATGTTCATCACACTTAAGGTCATAGATAAACCGAATACAACAATTGACAAGTCTCTGTAACTTGGTATTTAGTTCCTTGGTCAAACCATGGTATACGAGGCAACAGTAATCGATATGCGGCAAAATCAAGGTTGTTACGAGCTTAATCCTGAGATTGGTGGAAAGAGAGTTTTTGTTATATTTCAAATTGTATAGCGCATGATGGACCTTCTGCGAAACCAACGAGATATGCTTTGTCCAGGATAAGTTGGACATGAAAATGACACCTAAATTCCGTACCTCACTCACAAATGGTAAAGGCGTATTGTTTACAACGATAGGTGGTATACTGCCAAGATCAATGTAATTCACATATGCTTGACTGCCAAATATGATGACCTTAGATTTGGCAGGATTTAGCTTAAGTCCGTACATATTAGCATAAATAGCAAAAATAGCATTAGCATCCTTAGTGATTAATTCTAGAGCCTGAAGAATATTAGCAGGTGAACACAAACGATAAATCTGAATATCATCAGCGAAAATCATATGAAACACATAACGTAAAATTTTATATATATCGTTAATATACAAAGAAAACAGCAGAGGACCAAGCATCGAACCCTGAGGAACACCAGAAGAAGTAAATATCCAGTCGGAAAGATTGCCAGCGTCGTCTATGACCGCCTGAGAACGGCCAGTTAGATAAGAGAAAATCCAGTTTAGAACGGCATCTGAGAAACCGATCTCTTTAAGTTTGATAAGCAATAGTAAATGGGGAACGGTGTCGAATGCTTTGCTAAAATCAAAAAGTATCATAATAGTGATAAGCCCTTCATCAATCCCCTGTTTTATATCATTACAGATACGTAGAAGTGCTGACTGCGTGTTATACCCCGGGCGATATGCAGACTGTCTTGGATTTAAGATATCATGTTTATTTAGATAGTCAACAATCTGTGAAGCAACTATCCTCTCTAATAGTTTAGACAGTTCCGGCAAATTCGCTATTGGTCTTGTATCCGACGGGGATAGCGGTGTACGAATTTTAGAGAGTGGGCGAATATATGCTCTCTTCCACTCAGACGGAAACAGAGATGCATCTAGCGATCGATTAAACAAAGAAGTGATGCATGTCGAGATAACGGGCCATGAGATACGCAGAACATAAAGCGGAATGCCATCGGAACCAGAGGCATAAGAGTGAATAGATTCAGCAGTAATAAGCTTAGAAACAGATCGAGGTGAGATAGAGGAGAAAACGAACTCTGGATAAAATGGACGATTAACTGAAGCAATAGCAGCGATGAAGTCAGAATATAAGCATGGAGAATGAGCATTGGAAACCGAAGCATAGTATAGGTTGAGCTGATCCGGTGTGAAGAAGTGTAGAGGAGAAGTAAGAGACGACTTGACAAGTCCAAGTCGAGCCAGTTCTCTCCACAGTTTTGCTGAATTCGTAATCTTAGCAAGAGAATTGTAATGAAATTCACTTTTAGCACGCTTGATGTCAGAATTTAGCTGATTACGGAAAAGTCTGTAAGTAGCATAGCTTAAAAGACATTTAGAGCGTTTAGCGCGTTTATATAGCTGATTGCGAGTGTGTAATCGAGCAACCAAATCCGCCGTAAGCCATTGAACCGGGGGCTTATTGACAACAAACACACGTGTGGGAGCGAATGCGTCTAGTGCCGCCAACAAATTACGAGACAGCACCCCGCAGAATCCGTCAACATCAGCGATGTCAGACAATGCATCAATCTCGGCCCGCACGTCGCCAGCAATAGATTCAAGATGTTCAACGAACCGAGAACAATCGATACGTTTGTAGTTACGCCGAGAAATAAAGCGGTCAGAATTAGGATTAGCTTTAAGTGACATAGACAACTCTAAGAGATCGTGACCGGCAATGAAGGGACTCTGAGACTTGGTAAATGATGAAACCTTATCAAGCTCATCTACGACCAAAACGTCCAACCATGAGTCTGAGGTCGCTGTATGATGAGTCGGTTCGGATCTGACTATGTGCAACGATAAGCTAGATACAAGCTCACGCAAGTAATTCGCCTCAAAATTAGTCGATGATAGATCGCAGTTTAAGTCCCCTCCAATAATTATATTTTTATACAGATGCGAGTATCTATTTAGTGACTCAACGAAGTCATGCAGGAGGAGACCTCTAGGTCTTCTATAAATGGACGCAAATAGTACAGATTCATCATTTGGCAAACGTAATTCAATAAGAAGATATTCAGGCGCATTATCACAAAGATTACTGGAGGTAGCTAAGATTTTGACTTTGAGCAATTTATGTATATAGCACGCCACCCCTCCGCCCATCCGTCCCACTCTGTCATGACGTATTAAAAAATAATCATCTAGAGCCACCAGCTCATCTGATACACTCGCATTGAGCCACGTTTCGGAAATAGAAATGATGTGGTGAAGACTAGTGCTGAAATGCAGCCTGATGAAGTCTATATGTCCCCGAAGAGAATTAGCATTAAACTGAGCTATTCGAAACGACGTAAAATTGCGTATTGAATTATGCCGACCTATGGAAGACAAGGGGCACGCAGGTTGGACAAGTCAGACGAGCTTAGCAAGATCAGTGTCCGAGTTAATATTAATCACCGGCTCACCATCTGTACGCCTAACATGTATCTGGCCGTCCCTAACCCAGACATACTTGTATGACTTGTCCTTCGCAATGCGCTTCACCTGTTGCATCAAATTAAAAGTGCTTTTTGGCAACAGCTCATTTACATATACGTTACGATGTGAGCTGCCACCACACACATCGCTCTGTCTAATCGCACCTTTTGAACGCTTACTCGACAATACCGCATCGCGCACAACGCTCGAAGCCAAGGAGATAATGACGGAGCTCGAAGGTGAAGATACCGTGGGCACAGTAGAAGACGGTTCCCTCTTAACCAATCTGGTGTTAACGATATGGCAGGAGAGGTTAGGAACATCCAATGTCGCAAAAACATTTTTTGCAATCTCAGATGGAGTTGCAGACAAAGTAGAAGGCAAACCTGATACGATCAACTCGCTACCGCTCTGAGTCGCTTGAGTCGACCGAGCAGACCTCAAGTCTCGGACCTCGCGAACTAGATTAGCATTTTCTTGCTCCAGTTTGATAATGCGTTGACTGTTCTGAGAAACAGTATCGTTAAGACGATCTAAGAGACTTAGCTTGACGCTAATTTCTTCATTGGTACGCTGTTGACTATCAATAAATGCAGAGATTTTCGCATCCGTACTCTTGATCTGCTCGATCAGCCCGCGCAAAAGAGAGTCAGTGGACTCATGCCTTATGTCCTGCGCACACGCAATGGACTGCGAGGCAACGACAACGCCAGACGCAGCATCACCATCCGAAGAAAAGAACGTACGGCGTTCATCTCTAGGTGTGAGCGGCATCTTCAAGAAATAAGACTTGCAACAGTCACTAACGGACCGCGTAACAATGTATGACTTGACGCAACCCGGATGAAATGTCTTACAGCACACGGCACAAGAATAAGATTTACCGGCAATTAATTTTGTACATCTAGCGCACGTTGGTTGCATGTGTAGTCCAGTCACGCTATTCGGTAAAAGCAAGAATCCCTAGGCACGTCAGATGAAAATCACTAGGCACGTCCCCAGCTCCGGTAACTTAGCCGGTCAACTTCGACTTTATTAATTTTTATATTTTTTTATCGTTTGTTGGTCGTTTGTT